GGCACACCCTCATTTGTAGTTGGGTTCACATCCACAGCATCAACAGCAGCTTCAGGAGTTGGTTTTTCCTCCGCTCCATCAGCAGGAATATCAAGACTTGGTTTTTCAACCTCAGCAGCAACAGGAGATTTAGGTGTTGATTCTTCAACATCAGGAACAACTCCCAGATCCTTTTTTTCAGCACCAGCAGCAGCTTCTGGAGTTGGTTCTTCAACCCCAATTTGATGCTTGAATCAACGTCCTCCATGACCTTGTTCTCACTGTCACTACCGTCTTTTTCACTCTCTCCCTCTCCCTCCCCACTACCATCCTCTTTCTCACTTTCTGTTTTTTCTTCACTCACAATTTGCTTTTTCTTTCCTTTGTTTTTTTTTGGTTGAAACTTCTGTTTCAACTGCTTTGTCCTTTGCCTTTTTTTTTTCAACTGACATAATTTCAACGTCCTTCTCTTTCAACCCCTTCTGTTTTTTCTTTGGTTCCTTTTCACCTTCTTCAAAAATGATCTTCTTCTTCACCGTACCTTTCTTTTGGTTCACATCTTCTTCTTCTTCTTGTTTATTTTCTTCCACCACTTTCTTTTGTTTTGTTTTTTTGGGTTTGACCTCTTCTTCATCACTGTCTGCATAATCACCAGTACCAGAGTCCTTTTCATCTTCATAATCACTGGTCTCATCCTCATCCTCTTCTTCTTCTTCAGATTTTGCTCTCCTCTTTTTCCTCCTACCTTCTCCAACATCGTCTTCGCTAGTTCCTGGAGTAAGGTCTGCCAAAAAATTAGATATCAGCCTCCACATCTGATTCACGGCTGCACCCCACCTGTCAATCTTATCGTTTATGCGATCAAAGGCTCTCTCAACCATCTCAACATGTGGTTGTGGAGCCTTTCCTACAATAATCGCTTTCTCCTTGTCAATTACCCCCATCATCTGAAAGAAAAACAAATATCCGTTCATACAAGTAAGAGAAAATATGCCTAAAAAAACACATACATGTTTTGGACTCACCTTGCTTGTGAAGTAGCCATATTTTAACTTGTTGATCAATTCATGCAAATTCTTCGTGTTCACATCATTCCAGTCCCTAATCCTTGGCAGATCATACTTCCAAATGTTGCGTAGTCCATCCTTAGGGGAATACTCACAAAATATTCCCTGCATACAGACCCACAAACTAATTCTTATATACAGGCATACAATTAAATAGATTCTGCCATATACAGGTAATTACCTAATATGATTCAGGACAGAGACAAATCTATAATTATTTTTCGGTAATGATTTACATAAACATTTGTCTTTACCTACATATACTGAAAACACACCAACAGGCTGCTAAAAAATACTCTGCCATATACAGGTAATTACCTATATACAAAGATGTCAACACACACATACATAGGACACTCAGGATAATAAACAGTATATATTAGGAATCACCAACATCACTCTTTGTTAATACTTTATCTGATTGAGGACATACACAATTTTTCATCTTTTTGGTAATGATTTACATAAACATATGTCATTACCTACATATATTGAAAATACAGTACATAATAGCAAAGTCAACACATATGATTTATATAAACATAGGTCATTACCTACATATGTTGTAAATACACCAATAGGGCCACATTAAGACATGTACTAATCCTAAAGATACTCTGCCATGTACAGGTAATCACAAATATACAAATATGTCAAAACAAACCGACACAGGGCATTCAGCATCATAAATAGCATATATTAGTAATCACCTATATTTGTTTTTGTTAATACATAAAGAATCAGAAGGCAAAAAACATAACAAATATTGTTCATCTGTAATTACTTTCTTAATTACTTGTAATGACATAATAATAAAAACGCTTAAACAAAAGCTTACCATTAGAAGCAGAGTACATCCTCCCAAATGTGTAGGATTGGTCTTGGACTTGAAAACTTTAATGGCATCAACGAGACTATCCAACACAAATTTTGCAAAATTCCAATGTTTTACACAATCATCTTCAATAAAAAGATGTAGCCATGCTTTTTCTGGCTTTTCATCTATGTTTGGACAGATTAGGGCAGTCATAACAAATATTGTAAACATGCGTATAAAAAGAGGATTATCATGTGTTGTCCTCTTTAGTTCAGCCACCATTCCTTGAACTTTAAGTGTCGTAAACTTCCACAGTTTTTTATCTAACACATCTTCATTATCTAACTCTGAACTGTCAATCTCAAATCCATGGTCACTAAACCCCAAAAGGTTCTCAACATCCCTAGTTGTAATCTCAATTTTGTCCCCATAAGCCCCTAGTGTTCTAATAGCCGGATCAAAATGATCAATGACCCACTTGCACATTGTTTTTCTAGTGGTTTTAGTGTTGTAAAGTAACAAAAAACCAAATCCCATTTCCTCTAGCTTATCTTTTTTTTCTCTTGGAAATCCCTTAACTAGTGAAACAAATTCTTCAAGTTGACATAAAGGTTTCCACTGCGCCTACACAACACAAATTTGCAAATATTTCTAATTAATAAATGAGTGAAGTGCATGTGTAAGAACAATATGAGTAACAAGTACAAAAATTCAATTTACCGTGGTGGTGGTTGAACTTCTAGAAGGGAATGGTTGCAGTTTCGGTTTCTTTTCTGATGGTGCACTACTACTAGTGCTTACTGTTTTCCTTTTTCGTGTAGTCATAATTCACTATATATAAAAAACAAAAAAAACAATTGACATTTCAATTTTGACAGTCTAAATCGAATAAATAGTCATGCAACTTCAAATTAACTCACAATTTTGACAGTCTAAATGGAAGAAATAGTCATGGTACTTCAAAATTAACTCACTAACATCAGAAAATTTAACTCACTAACATCAGAACATAACCCACAAACATCAGAATAATAAACCAATTCTCATGCAACTTCAATTCTCATGTCATTGCTCCCATATTTTTTAATTGAGAAAATAAAAAAACATCACAACAATAAACCAAAAAATCACAAGTTTGTTTCAAGAATTAAATAACAATTAAGACAAATTCGTAATTAAAAAAATCAGAATTTCAATTTTAAAATAGTCAAGCATATTATAACAATATCGACTTTATAAACTCGAAATTAAAGACAATTAGTCAAGTACACTTACAACGTATGTTTAACCTCCTTTGTAGTTGCTAGGGCCGCTGTCGTCACCGTCGTATGCACCGTCTTGAGCGTGATTTGGTGTAGAGAAATGTATAATAGAAGATGAAGAGAAGGATGAATGAAGTTAGAGAGAGAAATTTAGAAGAGTAGAGAGAGAGAGAGTGAATAGTGAATAGTTTCGATTGCCGTGAAAGTAAAAGTAACCGCCATTAATTTGGTAAAAAATCAAGTGGTTGAGATTGCTTGTTTTTTAAACACTTTTTTAATTTTTTTTTAAAAAAATAGTTACAAAACACAACTCCTTAAAACACGTAAACCAAATCCGTGCAATTCGGTAATTTTATTTAATAAAAGAAACAATTTTATTTTTTTCTCAAAAGGAAAAAACAAGATATCAAAAATGGAATCAATATAATCTTATGATGTATATCATAACCATAAGATTATATTCTTATGATATTAATAAACTTTATAAAAGATTATTTTTAATAGTTTTTTTTAAGGATAAACATTATAAAAGATTATTTTTTATAGTTTGTTTTATTTTTCTCTTTTAAACATTACCTAAAAAAATTAATTCATCAAAACAAAAATTAAAAAAAATAATTAAAAAAATTCAAGAATTAATACTAAAATTTTGTCACAATACAGAATTAATAGTCACAAAATAAAAGTTCAAAACATGAAAAGCTTATAAGATTAAAATAAATAAATAAATAAATAAATATTTAAAACATGAAAATCTTATAAGATAAACATGTGTCGAAGGTATTTTATTCAGTTCAAAACTTAGGTAATCACCAAAACTAAAACAGGTAAACTCCAAACAAAAAATCTTCAATAATCCGAATTAAGATTTATATTAAAACTAATAATCAGTGTTCGGATCCCAATCGAATATGGTTGGCACTTTCTCGAATTTACTGACTTCATAGCTATCTGTAGCAGTAGCTGCATCTCCAACATTGTATGTCCTTGGCATGAACTTTTTCAAAAGGTCAACAAAACCACCACGTTTGATGACTGGTGGAGCAGCTCCTTGGGATCCAACTTGGCAATGCGTACCCTGATTGGTAATGTCATGAACAGACTGGCCAATATCATGAACCATTGTGTCGACATTTACATTCCCAGTAGTCTTAACATTCTGTTTAGGTTTACCCCTGCCCTTTTTTTTCTTTTGCTCTCTTATGATATCCTTCTCCTTAGGATTTTTCTTCTCCTTCTCTATTTCCAGGATCATTTTTGCTAATTTGTCTCTTAGCCAAATAGATCGATCATAAGATGTAGACACCATTCTAGAAAGTTGTGTACTTAGACCACTGAGGAAAGTATAACGCCCATTTGCCGATGCCTAATCATTTCTTTTTTGAAGTTCTTGCTGCTTCAATGAATTTGATATATTGCTCTTCGCTTTTATTGTCCACCTTCGGAGAATGAAACTTTGTGGTAGTTCAACCATACCTCTATATTTCATGACTGCAAACATATGTCGACAAGGTAAACCAACTGCATTGTATTTCATACAGCAACAAACCAGTTGTTTTAGCTTGTCATTGTAGCACACAATGTAATTACAATCTTTCACTACACAATCATTTAACACGTAGGTAGTTGACGACTCGTCACGATGCCCTTTTTCTTCTTTCACCTTTGTCACAATGTGTCTTGATTCAAACTCAAGCTCCTTACAAAACACTTCGTACACATTCCTTGTGTAGGTTCGGGCTGCTTGAGTTTTTATTTCAGTCAACACACCAGTTATAACGGGAAATGTGTGAGTGGATCTGTAATCATCTTTGTCTTCTTCAAATCGGATATATTCAAGCACTTGGTCATACAGCTCCACAAAACGATACAACATTATTTAGATGTTATAACCGTTTTGAGTGTGCTATTCATAGACTCACATCTTTGAGTGCTTCTCATACCTGCACATAACATAGGTAATGACTAATATAACTACAACTCAACACATATTACTTTTCAAAAAACTCTAACTTAATCATGTACTAATGTATAATAATGTGTAATGATGTATATATATGCATATTATTACAAAAAAACTATTGGTAATGACATATAACTATGTTTAGCATTGCATATAAATATGTTTAGCATTTCATATAAAGTAAACACAATTTTTCAGCTAAGGGACTTTTTTCCTAACATTGGTAGCCATCTATATACGAATGTGTCATTACACCTAGAATAAAATAGTAGGATCAAATATATAGGTCAGCCCCAAAACAATAAAGGTAATGATTTATAAAGTTATTGGTCATTGCGTATATACAATAATGTATTTACCTGCATAAAATTGTCCAACCATAAAAGCCTTAGCCCATTTTTCTTTGTCATTATACAGATCTTGTGCCCACTTTTTATCTCTCACTTCATCATATGCCTTCATTAAGTCTTCCCATGCTTGTTCAAACTCAAACGGTGTCCGAGCGCCGTCTACACATTTCATGATTCCACTGCAAAATCGTCTGTTTGTATGACCCTTGATGTTGCGCATAAGATGCCATAGACATCGCCTATGGTGAGCATGTGGGAACACTTCTTCAATAGCGGTTGCCATAGACTTATCCCCATCCGTGACAACAGTGTAAGGAGCAACGTTGCCTCCCGCCTCAAGTAATTGTCTAAGCACCCATATGTACGTGTCTATTTTTTCATTTGCGATCAAAGCGACACCTAACGGCACGGTCTTCCTGTGGTGGTTTACACCTACAATCACCACAAATGGTTTGTTGTACGCGTTGACTTTATAAGTCGTGTCGAATGCAATTACAGATCCGAAAGACTTGTAATCCGCTTGGCATATCCCATCACACCAAAACATTTTATCAATCCCATCATAATCATCATGTGTGTACCTAAAAAAAAGGATGAACCGTATTAACCCAAGGGGTGAACCGGGTGGAACACCAAAAAAAAAAAAAAAATCAATCACGTGTGTACCTTAAAAAAAAAGAAGGGTCAGAGGCTTTTTTTCCAAGTAAGTAAGCTAACACGGTTTCTGTGTCTCCATCCTTTATCTCCTGTTTTTTGAACTTCTCACACGTATTATACAAGTCTTTTGTTAAGAACCCAACTTCACGAATTCCCCCTGCTGTTAGTGCTAAATTCCTCATAGTGATGGATGGTTTCACTCCGAACTCAATTAAGGACTTAATTCAAAGCTCATCGGTTTCGCTGACTTTTCTATGGCTCCTGTCATGTATTTTAATAAAATAATATTATTTAACGAATGTAATATCTAATTAAGTATAATGTATATGACATAAAGTGCAAACCAACCTTTCAAAATAGACTTGTTTCATGGGAACTAAATCATGGCCATTGTGCTCAGTCACAAATTCTTTCACGTACCATGAATCATCCCGATGATCCCACTTGAAACTTATGAATGCTTTGCAACCACATCGTGTTATCGGTCTCTCTTTACGCTTTTTATCAGGTCTTTTAAAGTGTTTCGTTTCTCAAAATCCTTCTCTGTTACGCCAAATCTTTTGAGAAGTCGGATGACCATCAATTTTGCTCGTTGTTGCATGCTTTAAACGGATTCCAAAACCTTTAACCTTGGCATACATCTTATAAAATTTAATACAAGTATGAAGGCTTTTGAAAGACAGTTGTTGCATATCTTGAAAAGTGAAGTCTTCTATCTTCTTCCCAATTTTTTCCCACATGTCAGCAAATGAATCAAGAATATCATCATCATCGGTGTCTGATACAATATCAATCTCATCTCCATCGTCACTATCCTGTATAACCTCTGGATTTTGCATATCACCCTGAGTTGGATCCTGATGTTCAAACATGTTGATGTACCCATAAACATTTATCGTTAATAAAGTATGAATTAATCAAAAATAAACAAACCACAATTAATTTTTTTTAATTTCACCTACCTCAACTTCGTGATCATCAGCTTGATTGCGTTCATTAGCATGCATATGTGAGCATTCTTCTCCATCAACCCATATTAACCTAAACAGACCACAGACCCGTGTGGAATTTGAATTTCAAAGTTTGAAAGTTTGAAATGTGCATGTAAATAACCACTACAAAGGATAATAATGAATCTTCCCTTTTTTGGTTAACTGATAATTACAAATCTTTTACGTTATTATTATATTTTACTAATAATTATTTACCATAACTGATAATTTTTTGTTTTACTTATTTATTTATATCAGTATTTTTAAAACATATTTTTTATTTATTGATGACAAACTCAAGCTAGGGGAATAGGTGTTATGGAAGGTAAATCTTTTCAACCTTATTTTATTATAGATTGTCGTTGCTGTATGTAACCAGTCTAATAATTGGTATTGACAAATTTATATTTTGGTTAATACAATTCACAACCGAAATGAAATATATTTTGGTTGATACAATACATTCACAACATTAATGAAATATTTATTTCTCTATATTTCTATTTATTGCACTTGTTTTGGATTGAAATAAATTTTATTTCCCCTTTTTCATTTTCCTATGAATAAATTGATATGTAAGACTTGAGTTATAATTTGATTAATGAAAGAAATATATAGAACTATTTTATTAAAGGAAATGACCTTTTTGTTTATATGTTAAACCCTTTTTCTCGATTTCTGAAATGAATTAATATATCAAACCCTTTTCTTGTTACAAGATTATACACTAATTACTATGTTGTTTTAATACTCCCCTATGAATTTGAATTTTATTAATTTAATAAATAATACATAAGGTAACCGAGAATGTATACCAACAATTTTACTAATATTGTAAAGAATATATATTACGATTTTTTATATATTTTTTGGTAACATATCTTTACACACACACACACATGATTTTATCCTATATGTAAATACTAAAAATATACTAATATAACATCTGTATAAAATTGTTACCATAATTGAAATAAATAAATTAATTAATAAATGAATATGCAGTACTACTTTTAATAACTGCGTATTACCAGCAAATTTTGGCTACTAACATAAATAACGCTTAATTAACGTGGTTATGATATTGGGTGTAATGGTTTTAATTACCATAAACTAAACAGTTTACCATAACTAATTATTCCATATTAAGTGCCTATAATTATGGTGCAAATTATTTCATTACTCTTTGGCGTACTTTAGTGGTTATCCCTTCCCTTTTTTAATTGTGTGAAGATATATCATTACTTTTTTTTTTGACAAGAGATATATCATTACTTGATTTAGTGATTTTCGAATATTATTTTATTTTTTTGTACGGTGCACATTTTAATTTAAGTATTGTTTTTTTTTTTTTTGAAAAGTATAATAACTTAAGTAAGTATAAACTTTCTCTCCAAACAAAATATAAACTACGAAATCATCTATGCATAATATATAGCAACAACAATAAAACAAAGAAATTACTTTTTATTGAATATAATGATAATGACAAATAAATATAAAAAAATATAAAATAAAGCAAAAACCCTAATGGTTTTATTCGAAATTAACTATACTCGTCATCAAATTAAAAACATAATAATATAAACGTTACTTAATATAATTAAAAACATCTAATCATCCAACGTAAGATCAATATAATCAATAAATACGGTTATCTTGGGAACTTTTTCAGTACGTTTGGTGAACCAATTTGGAGTCCATGTTTCTTCATTTAAAACAATATCATAAAGCGTCTCCGCAATCTCAAGAATACGCTTTCCATTCTCATTCAACGGCAACTAGTTGAACATGTATTTCTCTTTGTAGTAGGAGTTCAGCTCGAGCCGAAAGATGTTTTTAAGAAACTCTGACACGGTTACATCATCAATCAAAGACTCGGCTTGTGTTACACCACAAACGATGATTAGTATTTTCATAGATATGCGTATTTCGATTAAATCTTTTGCATGACTTACATCATCACCTAACATTCCGGGAAGAGGCCCATCATCCGGGTTGTCATCGTAGGGCAATTCGTTAAACATACGATACACTGTAACTTCATCGGAAATAACCATTTCAATCGTAGGTAATTGCCCACAAGCATGCAGTATGTCGCATACCTTTTTTTCCCCAATACAATAAAGTAAATGAGTTATAAATAACCTAAATTCACATATGTCAAACTCATGATCAAATACTGCTTCTGGACTAGGAGGCATTTCAGAAGAAATAGAAATTAAGAAGAAAAATTTAGAGTATTCACTACTAGAGTAAATGATTGCGAGTGAATAACTGTGATGCTTTCAATCGGTGATTTAGCTACGAACATAAAGCATAAAATTGGCGCCAAAAGGGTTGATTTTCCCACCAAAAGGTGGCGCCAAAATGTGCATACCGATATCCCTTTAGAGATTATATATTTCAATATTAAATTGTATTTTTTTGAACAGGAATAAATCCTTGCAGATTCTATATCAAAAGATAAATCTTAGTAAAGTCAATCTAATCTTAAAATAACCTTTTTTTTTACCCCCAAATCTTAAAATAACCTTACATAAGATTATTAATCATATTTCCGACTGTAATATAAATTCGTAAGACTAAAAATAATTGATAAAAACCAATAAAGTTTTCAAGCTAACCCAAGAAACACTTAAACATGTTTAATAAGTCATGTCATATAATGTAGTTGGCCATGGCATATTATGTCCAATACAACATTGGTTTTCAATTGTTAATAGATTCGATTGGTTTTGAATAATTAATTGATTCCATTGTTATTATTTGCAACTGATACACAAATTGTTAGAGTATAAATATCCACACACTGTACATGAACACATACATGAATAATTTAAGGGGTATAACATTATGTGTAACATGTAATTTATTTTACTACATCTGATTTCTACCTAATCATAGTTATATCTAGTTTATGGTAGCCCCAAATGGTTAGGTACAAGATTATTAGTTTTTACTTTTTAAATTTTGCTTTGGTTGATTTAAAATTAATAGCAAATAATTAGGTATAGTATAAGTAAAGCTTTAAAATATGACTATAGGTGTTGATTGCTTAATTTTAAGAGCAATTTAAATCTTTGTTACCATACAACTTTAATTGGTATGATAATTTAATTTATTTTTTGGAAATTTGTTATAATATGATATGTCAATTCATATCATACATTTTGTTAACATTTACAATATTATTTTCATAATATAATCTATGGCCTTGTTTGTAAATAGATCTTTCTGAATTGGTTATGAATAGTGATTGCTTAATTTTAAACAGATATTGTATTGTACAGTGATTGCTTAATTTTAGGAGAAATGGAAAAAGATATATACACAATATCTTTTCTTAAAAAAAACAAAAAGGAAACAAAATATATACAAAATATCTCCTGATGATAGGTACTGTACTGGATTGTGATTGCTTAATTTTAGGAGAAATGATAGAAATTGTTACAATAAGATATGTCCATAGCTAATTAGCGATTATAATGTATCTCATTACAAATTCTAATTCTTGTTTCGGTTTATTTCTCTCATTACAAAATATATAGTTTAGTTTTGATATTAAGAGTGGATATAGATGTATGCAAAATTCATTACGAAATAACGTTACCTCGTAAGCATTTAATATTTAAGATGTATCAACAAGGTATTGTTCTATCCATATGTGGGGGAATTCCTCTGTATCAAACTAAAAAACGAAGCTTCACTAAGATTTAAAAAATTAATAAATGAAAGATAAATATGTATATACATTAAGTCACACCATAAATGTCATCATTACCCCATACCATATCAACCTCTACACTCAATCTCTCCCATCCATTTATTCACCTCGGTTAATGTAGCTTCGTTTAAAAAAAAATTTAAACAAAATTCACAATTACTCTCCATTAAG